TATCACCTGTCCAATCGTTTCCTGTCTCTACTCCTACTGTCCTGACCATTAAAGGTGGAAAACCCCAATGTAATCAAGAAAAAAAAAAGAAAGAGCAACTTGTAAAACATTTTTATAATGGGGTCTTGAAAGAGATTACAGCAAGTTCATTTTGTACTCCTTTCTCTCAGATATTTCTCATGACTCAGTTGTGTCTACTTTTATTTCTCCTAAGGATTTTTAGGAGAAACATCTGAGGCACCGTTGATACTAAAATGAGAAATGCATGAGAACCACAACTAAGTCTCCTGAGGTTAGAAAGAGCAAACTCTGAGCAATAGAATATTCCTATAATGGAGTCTTGATAGAGATTGCAGCAAGACAATTAATAGATATTCTCTGTTTCTTCCACCACTTTCTCAGTTGTGACTCTTTTTTTTCTCAAATATTTCTCAAGCCTCATTTGTGTCTACTTCTTTCTCCTAAGGAATTTTAGGAGAAACATCTGAAATGCTGTTGATACTATAATCAGAGATACAGTATATGAGAATCTCATCTAAGTCTCCTGAGCTTAGGAAGAGCAACCACTAAGCAATATTTTTTTCCTATGGGTATTTCCAGGTTCATTTGTCATCATCACCGCAGGAGGTTTGGTTTTGCTCCTGATCTGTGCTGTATTGCTTATTGTGGCCGTACAAAAGAAAAAGCAGGCTTGTGGTAATAATAAATTAATAAAATCTACATTTCTGATGTTTCACCAGTCAAATCAGATACCTCTGCTCTTTATAGTCTCTAATGAAAGAAAAAACCACTGTACAAAATGATTTTTTTGAAAGTGTAAATAAAACAAAGGTTATTGGAGTATGTTTACAAGTAAATACTATTTCAGTCTTTCTACTTAAAAATGTTGTTCAATTCAATGTTTCTACACCATTTTCTTTTCAGTGACATGAAATCAGATCTAATCATTCAGAACAATTATAAATAAAACAGTTTGGTTTTTAAAATTTGGATTTTAATTTTTCTTTGTCTTCAGAATTTTTTTAGTCAGATTCTGGACTAAACAAATCAATTGAGAGAGTGACATTGGATTCAAGCTAACATGGATGTTTTTAACGTAAAGTAATATTCATCCGTCTCAGGTTTGGTCCCCTCCTCTGCTGAAGGGCTTCATCTGACAGAAAAGAGAAGAAAAGAGGTGAGTCAGGATCATCTTCACTCAACATTTCTATAATTAACTGCATCATGAACTTGTATTATTCTCAAGTAGAAGTCATGGTGCA